GTCTTTTGGAAGGCAGCTCTCTGTAGGTTCACAGGGGGATGGGCAGAGCAACATGGGGAGTTCGCTCTGCCCCTGCATCCCTGGATCCTTGAGTGACTCATGATCACAAAGCTGGAGGAATCTACCTCAGAGCTGGTGGGATCATAGCCCCAGACTTGGAAGGGCCCATAGAGACCAACCAGTTTGATCCCCATATTTTATAGATGAGGAAAACAAGGTCCAGAGGAAGAGATTTGGTCAAGATCCTAAGCAGTAGGGCTGGATTTGAACTCAGGTTCTCTGACTCCAAATCTAAGACTCTATTGTCATCCTCTTTCCAATGCGATAGTGCTAATGTTCATTTCAATCTTCCCTAAGCAGGTCTCAGAACCACTGGCTACAGGAAAAAGTTGTAGGTGTGTGTGTGTGTGTGTGTGTGTGTGTGACTGCATAGGCACATGTGTGCACATACATGCATGTGTGGCAAATGTTTACATTTGTACCCTCCCCCACTCCCTTGCTAAAGGGAAAACCAAGCCAGTGAGCCCGGAACCTTCACTCCATTCAACAACATTGACCCTGAGTCAACCAAACCAGAGGCATTTCCCTGACCTTCAGCTCCCTCACTGAGTTAAACCTGATGCTAGATTCTCAGCTGAGTGGATAGCTTGGGACAGCATCTGAGGCTGATCACTATCCTGCAGTGAGCGGCTGTCATGGAACTTCCTCTCAGGACTCGCCCAGAGTGCCTGGGGTGTTACCTGAGAGGACCCCTGGGATACAGGAAAGCACAGAAGGCTGACCAGGCAGGGCAGGGCAGGGCAGGGCAGGGGTGGGAATAGCACAATACTACTTCAGATCAGCTTTTCACTGGGATCTTTTTGTTTTAGTCTTCCTATAGCACATAGGAGGTGTTTAATCCATGTTTGCTGGATTGGGGCTTGACTATGGCTGCCTCCTCTCATGGGACTGTGGGATTTTAGAAGTGAAAAGGACTTCAAATATAATTCAACTTCCCCATTTTGTAAATGAGGAAATTGAGCCTTCCTCTCCTCTCATGGTCTCCTCTTGCATTGCTTTCCCTGCTCCCTCTGCATCCTATGTGAACAAGATGTTCCCTGAGGCCTTGGGAGAGCCTAGGCCTTGTATAAGATCCTGCAAGAACCATCAGTGGCCTCAGACATCATCAAGAAACTCATTTGGTTGGGAACAATGACTCCCTCAATTTTTCTGCTGAGTTGGGGCACACAAGTGGAAGGGGTAGAATAAAGGCATATTTAGTTGAGAGGCATCACAGGATAGAGAATAGAGTCGGATTTGGAAACAGGAAGATCTGGGTTCAAATCCCGCCTCTTAACAACTCACTAGCTTTTTAATTATGGGCAAGTAACAATCTCAGTTTCAGTTTCCTCATGCAAGATGTAGAGTCCCCAAGTCCCTCTGTCCTCTCTCCATGTCAGATCCCATCTAGAGTGTTGTATTCAGTTCTGGGAATCACTGTTGAAGGACACTGATAAGCTGGAAAGCATATGCCAGAGGAGGGCAACCAGAGTGACGAAGGGCCTAGAGCCCATGGCAGATGAGGAGCAGTTGGAAGACCTGGGATGGTTAGCCCAGAGAAGACTTGGGGGTGCGGGAATGTCAGCAGGCAATCTAAGCTGTCTTCAAGTGCCTGAAGGACTGTCTGGTGGAGAAGGAGGGACAACTGTTCTTCACGGCCCCAAAGGGCAGAATTAAGAATGGAAGATGCGAAGAAGCAAATTTCAAGAGAAATAGCCTAATGGTTAGAACTGTCCCATAGTTGAATAATGAGGTGTCTGGAACGATGAGGGTCTCTCCTTATGGGAGGTCTTCAAGGTCAGGCACTAGGCACGCTATGAATATGCCCCCAAAGTGCTGCCCTAGACCCTCTTCTCTTCACATTCTCTGTGACCTCATTGACTTGAATGGATTTATTCCTCTTCTCTGTGTAGATGACTCACAGATCTCTATATCCGTTCCAGACTCTCCCCCGAGCTTCAGGTCCACAGCATCAATCATTATCAATTGGACCTTCCAAACTTGGTGTCCTGAGAGCATCTCAAACGTAGAATGTTTCAACAGAACTCACCTTCTCCCCCACCCCAAACTGACCCCTTTGCCAAACTTCCCTATTTCTTTTAAAGTCCGTGATTTCAGTCTCTCAGGTCTATATAACCTCACCATTATCTTCATCCTATGCATCCAATCAGTTGCCAAATCTCAGTCATTTCTACTTCTATGACATCCTTCACATCCATCCCTTTCTCTCCACTCACACAACCAGAAGATTCGTTCAGGCCCTCTTCACCTCTCACCTGGATCATTGCAACACCCTCCTAAATGGTCTGCCTATCTCAACAAACTCCCCACTCCAGGCTGTCCTCCACACTCTTGCCAAGGTAATTTTCCTTAAGTGCCCATCTGACCATGTTACTCCCCTAATCAATTGAGTCGCTCCCTATCTATTCTAGGAGAAAATACTCACTTTTTTCTTTTAAAGCCTTTCCCCAACATAGACCCAGTCTCTTCTTCCAGCTGGACCCAACCAACCTGGTAGCCTTGCTGTTCCTCACTCATGACACTCCATCTCTCCTTACCTCTGCCTCATACAATCTCTCTTCCTTAAAAACTCAGATTCATCTTGTACATGAATTCATTCTAGATCTCAGCTTCTAGTGTCCTTTCCTCTCCCCTCCTCAAGTTACCTTGTCTTTGAGTTGTGATTTTTGCATTTATTTTTTATATTTATCATGTATGTACTCATGTATGTACTTGTCTCAATCAATAGAATATAAGCTCATTGAGGGATTGTTTTGGTCTTTGCACCTTCAATGCCTGGGCAGCTAGGTGGTAAAGTAGATAGAGCACTAAGCCTGGAGTCAGAAAGACCTGAGTTCAAATCCAGCCTTAGATACTACTTACTAGCTATGTGACACTTCACCCTGTTTGCCTCAGTTTCCTCATCTGTAAAATGAGCTGGAGAAGGAAATGGCAAACCATTATAGTGTCTTTGCTGAGAAAACCCCAAATGGGGTCATGAAGACTTGGGCATGACTGAGAAACAACTGAACAAAAACAATCTGTGGCACATAGTAGGTGATTAATAAATGTCTGATTGACAGATGACATTCCACGACAGTCCAGGTTGGATGAGACGGCTGCTGAGGTTCCTTCAAGCTCTTAAATTCTATGATTCCATGATTCTCTCTGGAACCTCACAGGGATGTTGGGGGGCCCAAAGGAGAAATCATATGTAAAATGCTCTGCAAACTTTAAAGTGTTTTATGTTGGTTATCATGTTTCAAGGAGGACACAAAAGGACAGTAGGGTTGGAGCCGGAAGGAACCTGAGGAACTGATTTTGGCTGCTTTCCTAACTTGGCAGAGAAGAACCCCGAGGTCAACACGGCTGAAATGACTAAGAGTCCTAGGCTGACAGATCCAAATCTCAAAGGCCAGTTTTCTAGATGGGAAAGCCACGGTCTTGGGAGGTTAAGAAACTTAATCTAGATCACACAAGCACTGAGGAGCAGAGGCTGGATTTAAACCCAGGTTTTCCTCCAGAGACCGTGTCTCCATGATACCTCTCTGTCTCCTTAGGCCTGATCTCTGTCTCTCTGTCTCCATTTCTGTCTCCCTCCTTCTTTCTCCTTCCTCCTCCTCCTCTTCTTTCTCTCTGTCTCTCTCTCTTCCCCTGTTCTCTTTCTACCTCTTCTCTCCTCTCTCTCTCTCCCCCTTCTCTCTCTCCCCTTTTTCTCTCTCTTCTCTCTCTCCTCTCTCCCCTTCTCTCTCTCTTCCCTTTCTCTGTCCCCCCTCCTCTGCCTCTCTCCCATTCTCTCTTTCTACCTCCTCTCTCCTCTATCTCTCCCCTTTCTCTCTCTCCCCTTTCTCCTCTCTCTCCTCTCTTTTTCTTCTCTCACCTCCTTCTCTCTCTCATTCCTTTCTCTGTCCCCCCTCCTCTGTCTCTCCTCTCTTTCTCTGTCTCTCTCTCTCTTCTCCTCCTTCTCCCTCTCCTCTCTTTTCCCTACCTCTTTTTCTCCTTTTTCTCCCCTTCCACCAAGGTGAATCCTTTCAGTGTCCATAAAAGCTGCATCCCTTGCTATATCTCTGGAGGGTGTAAGGGAATCATAGAATCACAGAATCTCAGAGGTAGAAGGGATCTCCTAGGACATCTAGTCCAACCCATCCTGAGTTAGAATCCCTTTTCAGCAACCCTGACAACCACCTACCCCCTGCTCAAAGACCTTCAGGGATAGAGAACAGCCCAGTCCACTTGGGCAGAATAAGACTAATGCTTTTTTTTTTTTAACTTGACAGCTCTTCAAATACGAAGGCTGCCATTATGTCCCAGAGAAGTCTTCTTTTTTTCCATGAAAAACATCTCAAAGTTCCTTTAACTTGTCCTTGTGTGGCAACTTCATGGAATTTTGAGCTAGAAGGTACCTTATCCAATGATCCCTTTTTAAAGAACAATACACTGGGGTCTAGGGATAGAAAGTGACATGCCAAGGTCTCCTCATGGATAGTTAGGTAGCAGAGAAGAAAATGTTAGCCTCCTTTAACCTGCTGGAATATTTGTCTTATTCCTGGATGCTGCTGCCCTCAGAATCCACAGTGGATAGTCGCTGGTCAGATTCTGTGAAGTCTGGACCCCAGAACAACTGGTTTCTTGATCCACAAGCAAGCTTTTCAAAGGAGAAAAAAAGCTCTTCCCTGTGAGTGCTGCCTTCTGGGGAGGGCTTGCTTCTCCTCTGAGAAGAGTTCATGTCCTTGGGCAGGAGCTGGAATAGCTGTGGTCTGTATGATGACAGCCCCAGGAGGGCAACCCTCCAAGGGCACTGCTTATTTGTGATTCAGGACTTGGAATTTAGAAGTGGAAGAGACCTAAAGACAGGGAACAGCAGAGCTGGAAGGGCTCTTGGAACAGAGAATGTCAGAGCTGGGAGGACCCTTAGAGCACAGAATGTCAGACCTGGGAGGACCCTTAGAACCCAGAATATCAGAACTGGAGGGCTCATAACAGAATGTCAGAGCTGGGAGGACCCTTAGAACCCAGAATGTCAGAGCGGGCAGGGTCCTAGAACATGGAATGCCAGAGCTGTAAGGTATCTTAGAATATTGAATGTTAGAGTTGAAAGACCTTAGGACAAAGAATATTAGAGATAAGGCAGAGCTCCTCAAATCATTTCTCTGGCAAGGAAACTTAGAGGAGAAGATGGGGGAACACAGAATGGAAGGACCTTGGAGGTCACCTAGTCTGACTCTCATTGTAGATGAGGCAGCTGAAGCCCAGAGAAGGCAAATGTCTTGTATCAGATGAGGGGGCTGATCAAGCTCAGCGAAGCTCAAGGAAGCTCAGCTCTTGGGGTGGGAGGTGCATCTGGTCAGAGAAACAACTCTTGGACTAAGATCTATGGGGACCAATGACTGGGAGCCAAGTGGCCACTAAGGTTCCAGGTGTTGGTGGGAATCAGGGAGCAGAGGGTTAGCACCTCGGGGCTGGGGAAGAGAAACCTCTGACATTTCCTCTCAGAATCATTAGAGGCAAAGCTGTCTCCCTACCTGTATCTCCCTCCTTCTGTTCCAAAATGTCAAGTGTCCAGATAAGGCTGAGCTGTCTCAGTTCCCTTGGGGGCTGGTGGCCCCTCCCTCCCTTCATTGCTCATGTATGTCTGGGATGGCCCCAGAGCAGAGCCAAGTTGCTGCACTCCAGAGATGCTGCAGTGGGTCCCCACAGCCCTGGGGCTGGAGGCTGTAGGGTAAGCAGCAGAGTTGGGGAAATGAGGATCCTTTTATCCTCTGGGATGGGGCAACACTCTTTCAGGACAACAGCACTGGTGGTTGACAGGTAGGATAAAGTACCTACCAGAATATCTGACCCTGAAGATACCAGATCTTAGGAGATCATAGAGACCTTAGACCTGTAAGGGACCAGACCTCAGAGAGTCCAATCTCCCCCATTTTACAGAGGAGGAAACTGAGACCCAGAGAGGGAAGGGGACTTGCCTAAGGTCATACAGTAAGTTAGAACCCAGGCCTTCTGACTCCCAGTTCAGTCCTCTTAATGATTTTTTTTTCAAATATATCGGCCGCAGCCTCAAGGGTTTCTCCCAGGCCTCTGTTGCTCCTTTACCTTCCCTCATCCCAAATTTCCCACCCACCCAAAAATCCTACACACTATTGGGGTTGTAGCAAAGCAGGTTGAACTCAAGGTTCTCGTCCCAGTGCCGAAGCAGGACAAAGAGCTGCTGGGCGGCTGTCTTCACGGAGGCCAGGGGACGGCCCTCAGGGACTTCCTGCTCTTCTAGCCAGGAGCTGGCTTTAGCTGCCACCAATTCCCACTCCACAAAGTAGGAGGCTGAGCTGTTTTCCAGCCATCCCAAGGCCACTGCTGTGGCCCACACCTTGCCGGCTTGTTCAGATCCATCGATCTCCAGGGCCTGCTTGCTATCAGCCCCATGGGATGGATCAGGAGAATGGCTCAGGGAGTTTTCGGCTGTGGACAGGAGGGGCTCAGCACAGGGTATTCGGCAGAAGGTCTCTGAGCTGTTTGAGATGAGCTGGCTCTGGGCTGAAATCTGGAAGGCGCCATTGGGCCTTTGGAGGCCTGGACTCTTGGGCTCTGGAGGCAGGATGTCTTGGTTTTGGGAGGAACTGTGGGAGCAGGAGGTTAGTGTCACACGGTGGCAGGTGAATGGTGAGGTCCACTTAAGCTTTTCCATGGGGATGCCTGTGGCCCTGCAGAAGGCCTGGCTGAGCAGGAAGGCACCTGAGGCCATCTGTAGAGAGACCTGGGGGGCCAAAGAGAAAGAGAAGGGTTTCAGGTCACACGTTCTTAAAGTTCATGAAAGCAGCATCCCATTGTGAAAAGTAAGCTGGACTTGGGGTCAGGAAGACCTGGCTTAGAATCCAGTACCGGACATTTACCATCTGTGTGACCCTGGACAAGTCTCTTCAAATCTCAATTTGCTTACTCAGTTAAATTAGATTCAACAGTTATCAAGTGCTTAGCACAGTGCTAGATCCTGGGAACACAAAGACAAATAACAAACAAACCCCAATCTCTGCCCTCAAGGAGCTTATATTCTATTTGGGAAAACAACATCTTTGTGGACAAGTAAATATAAGAAAAAGGGACAGGGGAGTGGTACTAACAACTGGAGGGAATCAGGAAAGGCTTCCTGTAGGAGGAGGCATCTGACATGAAGGAAGCTGAAGATTCTAAAAGGCAGAGGTAAAAGAGTGTTTATTCATAGAGTTCTAGATTGAGGATGGATGAGACCTTCAGGGCCATCAAATCCAATCCTTCCTGTTACAGATTAGGAAAATGCTATGGGCCCAGAGTCTCACAGCTAATGTACATCCTGCGGTGTTTAGCACCTGGGTTTGACCCCTTGACTCTGTGTCCTATCGAAGGTCTTGTCCTGCCCAACCTTAGCCTTGGATTACTTCTACCATCCACCCATGCTCCCGTTTGCATGCCACTGAACAAAGATGGAGGGAATCACAAAATTGTTGAGTCCACTACAGATTTATGTTCCATGATTGCAGTTGGGTCCTCACTGCAGCAAGGCCTCCCTAATTAGCTTACTGTCCTGTTAGCCACTATGGTTCTTCCAAACCTTTTTATTCCTCCTTAAGCCTCCCATAGCTCTCCCTCCCCCAACTCTCTTAGCTGAGGATTTTGGCTAATTGGTCACTAAAAATATTTGAGGCCATTAGCAAAGAGCTCCCCTTTCTTCTCTCCTCCTCATCTCTCATCACTCAGATGCCTTCTGCTACTATTTCTTCCTCACTCATTTTACATGAAGAGGTCCTACTCCATCCTGTCCTCTCCAGAAGGGTGCCCCCTCTGTCGTCCCTAGTCTGTCATCAATCTTCAATCTCTTCCTGTATACTGACTGTTTCTTTACTGCTACAAACATGTCCATATTTTACCCATCCTCAGAAAACCCTCACTTGATCTGTCCATTCTGGATAGCCAAAATTTATTTTCTGTCCTCCCTTTCCTGACTCATTGAGAAGGCTGCCTATAACGGGTGCCCCCTTCCCCTTTCCTCTCACTCTCTTAACTCTCTGTAGTCTGTCTTCTGGCCTCATCATCCAACTGAAGCATTGTTGTCAAAGTTACCACTGATCTTTTAATGACCAAATCTAATGACCTTTCCTCATTCCTTTTTCTTCCTGTTTTCTCTGTAGCTGTCAATACTATTGATGTTTCTTCTCCTCTCTCTCTCTCTTTTCTCTAGGTTTCCATGATATTCCTCTCTCCTGGTTTTCTGTCTACCTGCATGAGCATTCCGTTTCATTATTCTTTACTTTACCTTTACCCAGATCATGTCCACTAACTGTGGGTGTCCCACAGGGCTCTGCTATGAACCCTCTTCTCTTCTTTCTCTATACTCTTTCACTTGGTAATTTCATCAACTCCTATGGATCTGACTATCATGTCTATGTTGATTCTCAGATTTAATTGTCCAGTCCTAAACTCTTTTCTGAACTCATCTCATATCTCTGACTATCTATTGGAAATCTCCAGCTGAATGTCTTACAGACTAACTATCTATTGGAAATCTCTTACTGAATGTCCTATAGACCCCAACTATCTATCGGAAATCTCCAACTGAAGGTCTCATAGACTTCAACTATATATTGGAAATTTCCAACTGAATGTCTTACAGACTCCAACTATCTATTGGAAATCCCCAATGTCTTATAGACATCTAAAACTCAGTATGTCCAGAACTCATTGTCTTTTCCCTCAAACCCTCCCCTTGTTTAACTTCTCTATTACTGTTAAGAGTACCATTATCCTGCCAATCACCTAGGCTCAAAATCTAGGTGTTATCCTAAAATTCTCACTCTCTCTCTCTCATACATCCTCTCTCTCATATCCAGTCTCTTGCCAGGGCCTATGAATTTTACCTGTGTGACATCTCTAGAATATGTTCCCTTCTCTCTTCCACCACTCTTCCATCCCTGTCATTATTCTGGTTCAGTCCCTTGTCAGCTGGACTATTGAAATAGCTAGGCCATCCTCCACTCTGTAGCCAAATTGATATTCTTTAAGCACAGGTAAATGATGGTACCGCCCCACTCAATAAACTCCAGGGGTTCCCTATTTTTTTCTGGGATCAAATATAAAATCCTTTGTTTGGCTTTCAAAGTCTTTCATAACCTGGCTCCTTCCAACCTTTCCAAGTCTTCTCACCTTACTCTCCACACATTCTCAAAAGGTCAGTGACATGACACTTTGTTCTCCCAAGTCCAGCTATTTTCACTGGCTGTTCCCTAGACCTTTTCTTCCTCATTAGAATGCTTTCCCTTTGTGTCTTCAGATTTTAGTTCTTGGGAACTTCCCATCCTGTCTGGGATAACTTTCCTGGTTGAATTTTAATTCTTAAGATCTTTTCTCTGAAACCTTTGGAATTTGATCAACCTAAATCTGGGGTACATGTTAAACCCTTCCTGTTTTTCTTCTCCTCTGTCATAAATTCTACTATGGAATAGTTGATCTTCCTGAAAATTCCCATCATTTCTGTCCTCAGCAACCACTTTTTCCATGTTGGTGAGATCAGATCAAGAATAGATTCTACTTGTAGGCTTCTCTACCTTTTGAAGGGGCAGCTAGGTGGGTCAGTGGATAGAACACCAGGCCTGGAGTGAGGAAGACCCATCTTCTTAAGTTCAAATCTGGCCTCAGACACTTACTAGCTATGTGACCCTGGGCAAGTCACTTAACCCTGTTGGCCTCAATTTCCTCATCTGTAAAATGAGATGGAGAAAGAAATGGCAAACCACTCCAACATCTTTGCCAAGAAAACCCCAACTTTGGACACAACAATCACTTTTTGAAGGATGAAATGATAATCTAGGCAAGTCAAGATATTATTAGCTCTCTGCTTTGGACAGGGAAAGAGTTCTAGCAGATGTCTGGACAATAATATTCCTTGTTCCCACCTAAATCAAGCCTCTGTTCCAGGCTTCTGATCTCTGCCCTAAGCTTCTTGTGCATTTCCTCTTTCTGGATAAGTGCTCCGTAGTATGCTCCAATGAAAACATTGCTTTTGTTTCTGTCTCTGATCTTATTAACCCAAGTTCTCTCCACCATTCTGTCCCTCTGCTTTCTGGATTTTTTTATATGAACTTATCTTCTAAATGTACTCAATGCTACTTCTTTCTTACCTACCCTCATCTCCACTTTTGCCTATTCTGTTTCTTTTAATTAAGGTCTAGCCTCTTCCAGAGACATATCCCAGTCATGGTTTCAATTCACCAGATCTCAGTGCTACCTTCTTAGGTATTCTTGGTGAATTCTTGTAAAGACACTGGAGCATAGGCTTTATTATTTGAAGAAGCGAAAAGAAGGAATTGTGTAAAGAGATCAATGTATGTGCATCAAACAATTTATATTTTTAAAAGACATCTATGGAAGTGAAGGTAGGTAAGAGAGTATGATTATGAAAGCATGGCCTAGTCCTGTAAGTATAGTGTTAGAGATGCTAAGGCTCAGAAGGAACTGAGGTTGGTGAGGAGAGCTAAGAACAATAAAAGGAAGGAGGGTTCTTTTTTTAAAAACTATGTTGGGTAAAATAAATCAAAGAAAGGGGAAGACTGCTGCTTTGGTTGGGTGAGATAATGACATTGGATGCTTGGGACCACAAGGCTATTCAACTCTTATTTCTTGGCCAAGGATCTGTGGATTGTAAAGGACAGAACAAAAATCTCTAACAGGTAGTTGATAGCCAAGGTAGATAGAGGGATAGATTGTAAAAGATCACCTATTTTCCCTTGATGAATTCAAGTCACTAGCTCAGATTGCATATTTGGATACTGAAAGACCCAGCAAATAAGATTCATGGCTGGTGATCTGTGAAATACCATGGAGAGCAGAATGATTACCAAAGGGTTGGAGGGTGGCAAATATCCTGATTTTTTTTAAAGGGAAGAGAATAGAAATTGTCAATGACAGACCAGGGATTTTTGGTTCATTTTTTGGCAAGATTTTTAGATGTATTATTAAAAAGATGGTTGCGGCACATCTGGAAATGACCACAGTGATCACAGAGCTGGCACGGCTTCATTGAGAATAAGCCAGGCCAGACCGGCTTCATTTCCTTTGCTGACTGAGTTAGTAGACTGGTAGATCAGGGGTAGTTGAGATTGTCCAGATTTTAACAAAACATTGGACAAAATTTTTCATACTTTTCTTGTAGAAAAGATAAAATGGGCTAGAGGATAGTACAGTTTCAGCACTGGTTGAATGATCAGACCCAAAGAGTCATCATTAATGGTTCAATACCAACAGGGAAGAAGGTCTCCAGTGGAATGCCCTGGGCCCTGTGCTGTTGAATGTTTTTTTTTTTAAATCAATGATTAGGATAAAGGCATAGATGCCATGCTTATTAAATTCAAAGATAACACATAACTGGTAAAGATGTTAGAGACATGAATCAAGATCTAGAATGATCTCAACAGGTCAGAATTTTGGATTGAATCTAAGATGATGAGATTTAATTGAGATAAACTTTATTTATTTTGGCTAGGCAATGGGGTTAAGTGACTTGCCCAGGGTCACACAGCTAGTAAGTGTTATGTGTCTGATTTAAACTCAGGTCCTCCTGAATCCAGGACCGGTGCTCTATCTACTGCCCCACCTAGCTGCCCCAAGATAAACTTTAAAAAAGTTAATTGGAATAATGTGGGTTCAGGATGGAGGTGGTGGTTTGTCTGAAAGAGATCTGGGGACTTCTCAGGGGACCTTAGAACTTGCAATGTTAGGAAGCATAAAATCAGAGCTGTAAAGGATCTTAGAATATGGAATGTTAGAATGTAGAACGTTGGCACTAAGGAGGGACCATAGACCATAGAATGTACAAACTAGAAGAGTTGAAAGGGAACTTGGAAATCAAACAATTCAATCTGTTCATTTTAGAAATGAGTAAAATGAAAAGCATATGGAAGTGATTGTTGATAAATCAAAATAAATTAATAAAATTTTTTTAAAAAGTAAAAAAAAGAAATGAGTAAAATGAGGTTCATAGACACAAATGACTTGTCCAAGGTCACACAAAAAAGTAGTTGGCAAAGATTAGAACTCGGGTCTCCTGAAGTCTACTTTAATACTCTTTCTGTTGAACCACACTGAGTAAGTAGGACAAGGGAGGACAATTCCGTTCACTTAGTGCCTAGTCACCCTTTTTTCACACTCAGCAACTTTTCAATGTTCCTTCTCTCTGCCAGTTGATTTGCCCAGAAATCAGCACTTACTGCCCCTTCCTTTTCACTCCTCCTCTTCCTTTGGAGCCAGCCTTTAGATGTCTAGAGGCTCTTAGATAATATTCAGAGAACCACTGAACCATAGAGGCATTTCTCAATCTTGGGAGACCAATCTTTTTTCAAAGTGCCTGCTGTGCTGGCTGGTGTGGGAAGGAAGAGGCAGCCCTACTAACTGGGGGAAGTGGGGAGAGGGTTGGCTTCGGAGGGATGAGAAAGATGGAGAGGAGAGGAGAGAAAGGGAGAAGATGAAAGAGAAGGGGAAGAAAGGAGGAGAGGCGAGAGAAGTGAAGTGGTGAGGAGGGGAAGGAAATGGGAGAGAAAAGTGGCCGAGAGAGGAAGTTGTGAAAGGAGGAGGGCAGGAGAGAGGAGGGGAGGGAAGACAAGTCTCCCTGAATGGAGAGGTAAGAGATGTAGTTATAAACTGAAGAAATGATGCATCCTTTCTCCTCCTTTGGTGCATGTCAGTGTTTTGTTGATGATGACAATATCAGATATTGGGGCTTCATGCTTTCTAAAGTCCTTTCACAGAATGATATATCAGAGGATAAACAGAGGCAAAGAGAGAAGTGGGTACTCAAACCAGCCAATTGGATTCCTTGTGGGCAGCTCAGGTCCATGATTTGGGTAACAAAAGGAAGTTAAGGTCAGAGATCCAGTGCTGAAAGGGACCATGGGGGGATAGAGTTAGATCTGGAAAGGACCTAAGACCATCTCAACCCCCTCATTTTACAGATGAGAGAAAGGGGAGTGATTGGCCCTAAGCACCCAGGGAGTGGGTGACGTAGCTGGGGTACTACTCTCCTGCCAAATCCAGCACCCTTTTCACTCCAAATAGAGCTTTTAGCTCTTAATTCTAGACTGGCCACGCTCTACTACTATTCTATACTAATTATTTACTATTCTATGATCTCTGAATGGTTTAGTGTTGATTTGGATATGGAAGAGACCTTAGGGTTGGAAGAGGCTTTACAGATCTTCTAGTCCAACTCATTTTACAGATGAAGAAACTGAGGCCCTCTAGAGGGGAAGTAACCTGCTCAAGGTCACTTAGGTTGGAATTATCAGAGCTGAGATTTGAACTCAGATTTCTCAAGGTTCTGAAATGCAGATCTTTCCATCTCATGCTGCTGCAAGAGTTTCATTTTTTTGGGGGGAGGACGGGGGAGGGACTCATTGATGGTTTTCAGTCAAGCCTTGTTATGGACTGGAGACAATGGGCAATGCCCTTGTCCAATGATGCCTCTCCCCCGCCACCCTTCAGATACACCCCAGCTGCCCAGGGCAGGTAGCAACATGCACATGTGTCAGGGAACTCACCAGAGGTAAATAATCCATGTTCTCGGTATCAAGGGGAAGCTCCTGCACCTGGGAGGTTGGTGCTGGGGGTTTAGACACTAACCCCCTGGTTGCTCGAGTCAAGAATCTGTTCGTATTCAGGTTCAGCCTGTCCAAACACACCAGGGCGAGGGGCAAGGTTGGTATGGCTAGCCCTCCCTCCTGCAAGCCTCTCCCCCACCCCCATGTTCCAAGAACCTCCCCTGGGGCCTCCCTGACTCTCCCAGAAGCCACTTACGAGGAGGCCAGGCCCTATCATTCCCAACCCACCATCATGCCCTGCTATCTCCATCCTTCTCCACTCCCCAGCCGCCACTCCTTTCCAATCTCTGGCCTCTGATCCAAGGTAATCCTCAACCCCCTGTTCTTTCTAAGTTAGGGACAAGGTATCAATAGAGGGCTCAGAGTGCTATAGTTGGAAGGACCTTAGAATATGGAATGTTAGAGCTAGGAAGAGACCTTAGAATACAGAATGTCAGAACTGGGAGACAACCTTAGAACTTCGAATGTCAGAGCTGGGAAGGTTCTTAGAACATAGAATGTCAAAACTGACAGGGACTTTAGAACATAGAATGTCAGAGCTAGGAGGGCCCTTAGAACATGAATGTCAAAATTGGGAGATAATCTTGGAACACAAAAGGTGAGAACTGAAAAGGGCCTTAGTACATATAATGTCAGAACTGGGAGAGTTCTTAGAACACAGAATGTTACAGTTGGGAAGGGCCTTAGAACATAGAAGTTCAGACGTGGGAGGGACTTTAGAACAGGGAATGTCAGAGCTGGGAGGGACCTTGGGGCTTAGAATGTCAGAACTGGCAAGAGCCTTAGAACAGAGAAAGTCAGAGCTGGAAGGTTTTGTAGAACACAGAATGTAAGAGTTGGGAGGGCTCTTAGGACACAGAATGTCAGAACTAGGAGAGTCCTTAGAACAGACAATGTCAGAGCTGAGAGAAGCTTTAGAACAGAGACTGTCAGAGCTAAGAAGGCCCTAGAACAGAAAATGTCAGAGCTGGGAGGACCCTTAGAACAGAGAACATCAGAGTTGGGAAGAAGCTTAGAACAGAGAGTGTTAGCACTGGGAGGGCCCTTAGAACACATTATATCAAAGCTGGGAGGGGCCTTAGAACATACAATGTCAGAACTGGGAGGGCCCTTAGAAGACAGAATGTCAGAGCTGAGAGAGCCCGTAGAACACAGAATGTTAGAGTTGGGAGGAACCCTACAACATATTATATTAAAGCTAGGAGGGGCCTTAGAACACAGGATGTCAGAGCTGGGAAGGGCCTTAGAACACGGGATGTCAGAACTGGGAGGTTCTTCAGATACAGAATATTGGTGATGGCTTAATCTTCACTTTATAAAGAAAAGGACTCCTAGAGGAGGGAAGGGATGGGTCCAAGAGGACACAGTGAGTATCTGAAAACTAAAGCCTTTTGAATAAGCATCAAAGACCTTTTCCTTTTCACATGCTGATAGTGAAACCCCAGATCTAACCTTCTGTCCTGGGTGATCCCTGTCTTAGAGAGAGCCCTGCCTAAACCCCCCCTGTCCACCCCTGCAGCAAACCCTGCTCCTTAGCAGGATTAGGCTGTGGGTCTGGCCAACGACGGGAGGTAGAAAGAGACCAAGTTTGTCCCCCCTTCCCCTCTGCAACCCCATCCCCATCCCCAGAATCCCCATGTTCCACTTGCTTAGCTCCTCCTGTCAGAAAGAAAGGATCTGAAAAACTCATCCACATGGAGCTAGTAGGGACCCAATGAACTCAGTATCCAAGGGGATAGAGGAGTGCATTATATTCATTCTTTCAACCAAGAATTTGTTGCTTCTTTTTCTTCCTTTTTTAAAAAGAATGTTTTATTGATGACTGTGGGTTTTAATCTCAGTTATTCTCAGATATACGCCCCCTCTTCTTCCCTTCCTCCCTCTCCCCCTCCCCAGTGATTCTTTCTTGTTACAAAGAAAAAATGGATACCACCCCCCCCATGTCCACTGATGCAGCTATTAGATCTGATAGTGTATGGGACACAGAGTCCCCCACCTCTTCAAGGGAAGTAAGAAGGTGCATTTGGAGGCTTGTATTTTAAAAGAGAAGCCCAGAGAGGGAGACTCTCAATCCAAAGAAATAATTCCTAAAGGTAGCATTCCAGGCACGGTGGCAAGTGCATACGGATGCCTCAGGACCCTTCATTCACAGGTGTGGTAGGCTGCTGTCTATTTCAACTAGGCCGACTGCTCTGAACTCTGCCCCTCTCCAGCTCAGTGGATGGCAGGAATGCCAGGCAGTGGTCTCTTACCTGGTACCAAAGAGGGTCTCTGAGGCCTTAATGCTGGGGCCAGGATTGAACAATGACTTGTACAGAGGACCTGAAGAAGAATGCAGAATCCTGACATGTTAGAACTGGGAAGGACTTTATGGTATAGGTGTGGGCAGAGACAATTCTACTCATTCCCATAGTAATAAATCTGGGCAGCTAGGTGGCGCCATAGCGCACAGAGTGCCAGGCCAGGAGTCAGGAAGACTCATCTTACTGAGTTCAAATCTAGCTTCAGATCCTTACCAGCTCTGTCACCCTGGGCAGGTCACTTAACCCTGTTTGCCTCAGTTTCCTCATCTGTAAAATGAAATGAAGAAGGAAATGGCAAACCACTCCAGTATCTCTGCCAAGAAAACCCCAAACAGAATCAAGCAGAGTCGGACACGACTGAAACAACTGAACAAGTCTTCCAACTTGTCCATCACTTTCTTACCCCTTTTCTTTTTTCTTTCTTTCTTTTTTTTTTTGTGAGGCAATTGGGGTTAAGTGACTCGCCCAAGGTTACACATCATGCCCCTTTTCTAAGTAAATTCCCCTTGGGTCCATAGGTCTGGTATTCTTTCCATTTTCCAGATGAGTAAACTGAGCCCCAGGAAGGGAAAGCAACCTATCTAGTCACTGTGAGTAGGTGGCAGAACCTATGGGAGAGCAGCTTTAAGATGCCTTCCACGTATAGCACAGGGCTTTCCTTGTTATACTACAATCTTCCTAAATTCCTACTTCAGCTTTTTCAGGGTGAGTGTTGACGAGAGGGAAAGGTCCCATTTTAACCTTTCCTCCTTGTCCTCTTCTTCCTCCAAGGGCTCTGAAAGCCTCCAGGTCAGGGATAGGTGTAGGGAAAGCTATTTGTTACAATCTTTGACCCAACTCACGCTGTGGTTTTTCATTGTCTAAAGGAAACTTTGAGGCCAGTGGCCCATGGTGGGGCAGGACACACTGCCCCTTATGCAGGCCGTCTGGACACCTTCAGCTGCCCACCTAGGCCCTGTATGATAAAACCAGCACTGCGGCCCAATGTTAAGCACTCGAACCTGGGAGCCCATCCTCCTGGGCCCTCATGCCACTCCCTCCCCTTCCTCTGACACTTAAGGGCCCTGAAATTGGTCACACTTAGGGTTATAGATTCTGAGCTGGTAGGGATCATGTAGCCCAGCTCCTTTATTTTACAGATGAGGAAACTGAGGCCATTGAGGTTGGAGGATTTGCCCAAGGACATTTAGCTAGTGAATGGCAAGGCCAGTGTTCAAATCCAAGTTCTCTAGGTCTGCCAGATGAGGCTGCCTTCCAGAAAATGGGGTTCAGAGAAAGGAATGACTTATCTAAGGTCACAGAGCAAATCGGTGAGAGGAGAAGTCAAGCCTTCTAATGTCGGGAGTGAATAGGGTAGCCTAAGCATTCTGCCATCCTCTGGGGGTGGCAGGAGGAGAGCAGAAGGAACCCTGGACTCTGGTCTCAGACTTGGACCCCAGGCAGGGGAAGTGGGGTCTGGAAGTCCAGGGGTGGGGAACCTGCAGCCTCTAGGTCCTCAAGTGCGCACCCCCGTGACCTGGTCAGAGGGGGCCATAGGGTAATGGAAGGGGAAACAAATAGATGGAGGTGGCCATGCACTCACGGTCCTGAAGGCTGGTCCTCTCAGTTCTGACGTTTGGAGGTGGGCTGCCAGAAACATTGGTCTCATCCAGATCTGCAAGAGAGAAGGCCCAGTGAACCCCTACATCTCACTCTCCCAGGTTCACCCCTCCCTCTTCCCTCACTTTGTTTTTTTGGGGAGGCAATTGGGGTTAAGTGACTTTCCCAGGGTCACACAGCTAGTAAGTGTCTGAGGCTGGATTTGAACTCAGGTCCTCCTGACTCCAGGGTTGGTGCTCTATCTACTGTGCCACCTAGCTGCCCCTCCCCGCCCTTTCAATTAAATTTAATTCCAAGTTGAACTCTACTGCTGCTTCGAGTCATTTATTCCAATTCAGTTCAAACAATATTTATTCTTCGCATCTTAGTAGGTAAGAATGCAAGAGATCACTACCCACACAAAATCCCCCAGGCTGGAGCTCATGGGGCTCGTTGGGCCAAGGCCAAGGCCAAAGGTACCACCTCCACTGGAGCCATTTCATCAAGAAGTCGACAAGCAAGTATAAAGTCAGTCAGTCAGTCAACAAACATTTAAGTGTCTACTAAGGCACTAGAGATACAAATATACAAAAAAAAGGACAACCCCTGCCCTCAAGGAGCTTACATTCTACACACGTACCCAATAAATACGAGGTAATTAGTAGAACAGAAGAAGCATGTAAGTGCCTACTGTGTGTCAGGCACTGTGCTAAGCGCTTCACAAATCTCATCTCATTTGATCTTCGTAACAAACCTCGGAGGCGGGTGCTATTATCCCCATTTCATAGTTGGGGTAACTGAGGCAGAGGTTAAGTGACATACCCTGGGTCATGCAGCTCATAAGTCAAATTTGAATTCAGGTTCTCCTGACCCCAGGCCCAGTACTCTCCCCACTGTAGTACCACCTAGCTGAGGCGTAAGTAGCTGAGGGGGATCATGAAAGGTTTCAAATAGAAGATGATGCCCGAGTTGAATTTTGAAGCAAACAAGGGATTTTAAGAGGCAGAGGTAAGGAGGGAATGTGTCATAGGCAGCTAGGTGGTGCCAGAGCTCAGAGAGCGCTAGACCTGGAAGACGAGTTCAAATTTAGCCTCAGACTCGCTAGCTGTGTGATGCTGGGCAAGTCACTAAATCTCTGCTTGCCTCAGTTTCCTCAACTATAAAATGGGGATAATAGTATGTACCTACCTGGGCTGCTGTGAGGATCAAATGAGATAGCATTTGTAAAATATTTTGCAAATCTTAAAAGAGTTACATAAATGCTAACTATAATGACGATGATAATTATTCTACAGCATGGGAGACAGAGGCAGTTGTGCGTAAGGAAAAGCTGGAAGGCCATTTTGGTTGTAGGGTAGAGTGGTGAAGGGAAGAAATATATACATATACATATACATATACATATACATATACATATACATATACATATACATATACATATACATATACATATACATATACATATACATATACATATACATCATATACACACACATATACATGCATACACACATACATACATATACACATACACACACATATATGTATACACACACATATACATATATATCAAAGCTGAAAAGGTAGGTTGGGGATAGATTATGAAAGGTTTTAAATGCCAAAAAGAGAGTGAAGGTTTAGTCCTAGAGCTGATAGAGAATGAGTCACTAGAGTTTGCTGAAGAGAACTTGACATGGTGTGGATCATGCTTAAAGAAAGTGCCTTGGGCAGCTGAGGATGGATGAAAGAGGCGAGAGACCCATTGGGTAGCTCTAGCCTTAGCCCAGCTGAAAGGTGCCGAGGACCTGTCAGCATTAGGTGAAGGGATCCTCGTTCACTGGAGATAGACTGGATGCCAGGTCGGGTCTGCTGTCTCATGCATGGGTGTTTGAGCCACGGATGCGTAGCTGGGGATGGTCTGGCTTCCCTGTAGTCTGATCTCCACAGGACTTTCTCTGCTGCGCCAGAGAAACCTCTTCCCCCTGGAAGCTCACTCCGGCCCTTCTGACATTGAAGTCTTCTCCATCCCTGTGACCTCTGCCTCTGATTGGCTGCTTCCTCCCAGAGCCTCCATTTTAAGGAGGCGGCCCAGGCCACAGATGCCTTCGTCCCTCTCCAGGCCAATCTGGTTGACTCATCTCTACAGTATTTTCTCTACTAGGCCCCTGATGGGCTCAACTCCTCTACCTTCTCCACCCTTGGCTCCCCTTTTTAGCTTCATTTTATGGGTTGTCTTTTCCCATTACAGTATAAGCTCCTTGAGGGACTGTCTCTCTTTCTGCTTGTATCTGTATTCCCAGGACTTAACTCAGTGCCTGGCACACAGAGTAAACACAATTAATATTGTTGACTGACCTCTGGACAACAGGAAACATGGATAACTGTACTGCCTATTTCCACTACTGAAGACAAAAGAACTCAGAGCTCATGTTCCAGTGATGGTGGATTAGAAGCAATGTTTCTCTGGAGATGAAGGATATTGATTACATTCCTAGAGATTTCAAAACATCCAAATATAATGTCATCCCCCTTCCCCCTTGGCCTTTTCCTTCGAGGTTTTTACAGTGAGATGGAGTTGGGCTAGATAATCTCTAAGGTATATAACATTCCATGTTCTAAGATTCCTTCCCATTCTGATGGTCTCTTTTCTGAGCCCCTTCTCAGCTCTGACATCCTGTATTCTAAAGGCCCTCCCAGTTCTGACATTTTGTGTTCTAGGGCCCCTCCCAGTCCTAACATTCTATGATCTGTGTTTGGGAAATGTTCTGTGAGCTGTTATTTGGAAGGTGATATCTAAGTGTCAAATCTCAGTGGTGTCTAGTGTGGCATTACCACAAACAAAACCTTGTATAATTTATAAACCTCATGTGTACCCCCAGGGCCTGACATTAATGATGTTAAACTCAGGAGAAGCCAAAAACCACAGGAAGTATACTGCAAAGAAATGTGTTTTGGAAATGAGACTCAGCAAAGCAGAGTGGGGCAGGATGTGGGAGGAAGTATTTCTCCCATGATGAGAGGAACTGAGGTGGAGATGTCTAACTACTTCTAAATCTACCTCCCTAATCCCCTGGAAATTCACCTGCACAGCTGGCTAATGCCAAGCACTGGGGTCCTTGAACTGCTTGCTTGAAGGCTAAGCAGAAAGCCTGGAAGCCCATTGAAAAGCCCTGGGCCTTCCCTCCATGGGCATGGTCAGACCCATTTTATAGCCTCCTGGAATGTAGAGAAGGACCTCAAAGATGGGCTCAGTCCCTTCTCCCAGGCTGCCTGAGCCATACTTCTCCCTGCCAGGAGACCCAGACCTATGTCCTTGGCACTTTTGGGAATCCTGACTTTCTGTAGGGCATCACCCTGAGACTTACCAGGAACCAGAACCTCTTTCCTGACTGACCTCTTCACCCCAGCCAGCCAGTCACCTTGAGGGTCCTGAAGTAAGCTACTGACCTTTAGGTTTGGCAAAAGCCAAGAAAGGTGTTAAAATTTTCCCTCCAGCACAATGACACTTGGCTCTAAGGTGACTGTGGAAGGAAGCTGGTTTCAAATTCAGAAGCAGCTGATATGGTGACTAAGAAGGAGCAGTGTGTGTGTGTGTGTGTGTGTGTGTGTGTGTGTGTGTGAGAGAGAGAGAGAGAGAGAGAGAGAGAGAGAGAGAGAGAGAGAGAGAGAGACAGAGACAGAGACAGAGACAGGGAGAGACAGAGAGAAAGAAGAGAGAGAGAGAGAGAGAGAGAGAGAGAGAGAGAGAGAGAGAGAGAGAGAGAGAGAGAGAGAGAGGAGACAAAGGAAGTGAGCACAGTGGTGCCAAACATCCCTTGATGGCTTACTGATGGGCCAGCTGGGCCCCGTCTCCTCTCCCTATCTGCTGGCTGCCAACTGGAAGGTGACAAGCAGTGGCCAGGTGTCCCTAACAATGGAAGACTTCCAGGGAAGGTCCTGAGAGTTGGAGAGCCTCCAGCATCCCAGGGTCTGGCTTGGCCTTCCCTCTGCATTTAGTCCCAATCAGCTGGCAGCCTGTCTTTGTGTCTGTCTCTCAGGCCCTGTGTGTGTGTGTGGGGGGGTTAAGAGCCCAGGGTGGGAGTGTGAGAAGGAGGTTGGCAAAGACTGGGTGGATGAGATGGGCCCTGGAGTGATGGGGCTTTCCACTGGGTAAAGGAGGCTGAAGGTTGCTCCCTCCTGCTACTTGTCTGCTTCACTGACAAGTGCATTAGCCAGAAATCAGGAGGCCTGGGTTCTAGAACCAGCTCTGCCACTAGCTAGACAGAGAATTTTAGCAAGTCTATTCACCCTCCCCCGATTTCCCAAATGTAAGAGGAGAAGTCAGGTTACATGATCTGCCACTCTCCCTCAGCCTCTGTGCAAACATTTTACGTCCCTTCTGGCCCTCACCTTCTGGGCTCCTAAGGTCCAGTGGAAAGAGCAGTGCACGGGGGGAAGGTTGAAAGTGGAGTTACAAAGTCTCAGTTCGAATATCAGGTGTGCCACTTAGTACTCGTGGGAGGCAAGTGACACCACTTATCTGGGCCTCGGCTTCCTCATTAGTAAAATGAAGAGATTGGATTTGATGACCCCGAGCCTCCTTTCAGCCCTAAATCTATGATTCTCCCTGCTATGACATTCTGTGTTCTCAGGCCCTTTCCAGCTTGGACGTTCTCTGTTCTAAGATGCCTGCCAGCTCTGATATCTCTCCCCCCCCCCCAAGGGTCCTACCGCTTTGGACATTCATGAGTTTCAAAGTCCCTTCAAGTTCCAACATCCTGTTTCATGGTTCCTTCTAGTTCTAACATTCTAGGTTCTACTGTCACATGTTCTAACATTCTTTTTTTAAGGCCCTTTCCAGTTCTATGATTTCTTGATGTAGTAAGCCCTTTTCCATTTTCCAAACTTACTACTACCCACATCCCCTGTACCTCCCTGGTAATCCCTAGAACTGCATTTCCTAGCCACTCCCCAGATAGGCATCCTGAGAATTTTCTCAACCTTCTGAAAAGAAGTTGTCCAGCTCTATGTGTAGAGAGTCAGCCCTTGGAATTGTAGGGTCATTCATTTTTAGAGAAACATTACTTGGAAAGCCTG